AAACTTCATATTTATTTTATTCAATTTCCGACAATTTATAATTGTTTGATAAAGACTAGAGGAGCCTAGTCGAAAAATGGCTTGGTAATAATTTATATAACCAGTAATTGTACATATTCCATAGAATTGTGACAAGGGTATTTCCAGGTCAAATTACTAGATGTAATTGAAACAATTTATTTATCATTTGTACACTGAAATAGATCATTCCATAATTGCTTTGAAATTAGAATCTAAACGTGACATTTTATCTGTAAAAATGTAATAAATTTTGTCATCATACTGCAATAATATCAATATTAGAAAGGGTTTCTAAACTATTATCTTTCGTATGTTTATCTATTCTAGTCTAGTGCGGAACAATAAGCGAGAATAGAAAGCCGTTAAGCGGGGATTATTGAAGCAAGGATTACGGTTTCTAACTTTCTAGTTTTATTTCACAAATTTTTCATCACTAATTCTAACTACAAACTGGTCTTAATATCATGGACGTACCTTTGGTATGACCTATATAATTTTTTCTTAATCTACGAACTCTAAATTTATCTACAGATTTCTCTATTCTGGTATTTCTAAATCTACATGGACAAAATTCTATTGTTTAGCTGTCTCCTAGCAACACAATAAATATCAGTAACTAGGGTACTAATACTATTTTATTTTTCTTCAACTCTTTTTAATATTCAGAATCTATCTATAAATGAAATCTACTACATGATATTGTTTTTATTAAATTCATTAGCAACTGAATTGACATGAAATAAGAGAACTTAATGCAAACAAGACATGTTATAACTAAACATACATGGTACGTAAAAATGACAAAAAACTCATATGATCATGCACATGTAGTTCATGCGGAGGAGTAACAATTTAGGTTTCATGCAGACCAAAATATGTTATGAAATGGTAACAAACCTCGGCACGCTTTTGAAAAGGAACAGCATTGAAGGAAAAAAAAATTATATATGAAAATAAACTAAATCGATGCAATTCATATATCATTCATGTTAATTTACGTGCAAAGTTGAGAGTAATAAGAGTGTTATTCTGTATAAATAATGATGTGTTTAATTAATTATAATTAGTGGAGTATACTACATGTAGGTATGTTAAAATTCTCTAGCTAAATTAAAGGCAACCATCATCCATTATCAAATACTTATTAATTCATTACAGGAAAAAATAAATACAAAGACAGATATGAAATAGACAAAATATTTACAATCTTAGTTCTTGATATGATTAAAATGATTTCTATATGATATGTATTAATATTAATAACAATTATATGTTTGTTTTACATGCAAACTAAAATAGGTGCCTTGTACACGTTCATGCTTAATGATGTGGTGATTGAAAAACAGAACTAGTGTTTTTAATTATATTCAGTTCAATTCAGTCGAGTGACTTTAAATCTTCCAATACCAATCTTCAAAGCATAATTTTAATGGAGTCTTTCGGAACTACAGGATATTCTTATGTTCACATTGAATAAAAAATGTATTTTTGAGAAAAATACACCACAATAAGCTTTCTAGAAATAAAATGTATACTGACTAGCTTAGAAAAACAAAACAACCTTCAAAGAGAGAGAGAGAGAAATGGGGTTTAACGTCCACTCGACACAAACTAGGTCATTTCGGGACTAACATATGGTTTAATTTTATTTCAATAATTCGCTTGCGCATAGGGGTCCTTAGCAGTGGGGGGAAACCGGAGGACCCGGAGAAAACCCACGAGGTTGGACAGGCGACTCTACTCCTTGTCACGTACAACCGGGGATTAAAAAAAAACAACCTTCAAACATTATTAAACAGAAACCCATTATGACTAAAGTTGTATTTCATAGAGAGAAAGAAAGAAAGGGGAATAGGGTTTAACATCCACTTGACACAAACTTGGTCATTTTGGGACTAACATAAGGTTCAATTTTATTTCATTAATTCGCTTGAGCGTAGGGGTCTTTAGCAGTGGGAGGAAATCTGAGTAAACCAAGGAGGTTTGACAGGCAATCTGACTCATTGTCACGTACAAGCGGAGCATCGAAATCATGCCACTTTATTCAATAACAAGAGTTTATGATCTAACATAACCATTCAACCAACACCCCCCTCCCCCCCCCCCCCTCCAACTCCGGTACTACACAAACAGTGCTATAAGTGCAAGATTAAAAAAGAAACTATTTCTTTCCACTGTATTAGTCAATCAATGGCATACATAGACCCGACAAACAAATCATTTTGGAGCATCAAGATTTCTTTTGTGTAACCATTTTGTATATAACTTACAGTAATGGATCGGGAGGTTGGGGACAATTGGTTCCATGGGATGACTGAGAGATGTTACTCACCCAGAATCTATTTTTCTGAGGGAAGACACACCTACATTCCTCACCGCACTCAACCCTACGATTTCTTTTAATTCAGCCCCCCGCCCTCCTCTCCCAGTGACATGTCCCGGGCCTAATAATTTTAATCGGCGAAATTAATAGTATATAAGGGTCTTCCATCAAATTCCTTAAAGTCAAGCTTCTTTGGACACAACTATCTATTAAAATTTGAAATCTAGATAGAAAAAACATACATAACGTTTGGCTGTACAGAACTTAATCACATAGCAATAATTGTTATACATCTAAATATAAAGTAAAATCAGAAACCAAATATCAACTAACTACAAACAATGAGCTTCACTTTCTCCATGAGAACTTCACAAAAATTACGTCTTTATAGCGTATTTGGTATTTACTGTGTTCACAGCCTTCAACTTTACGATATATTCACAAACAGCTTCAGTGAAATTAATAACAAATTGCCGAATATGAACAAATAAACAGTTTGTAATATTTTTTAAGGTTTAAGATAAAATTTTCAAATTCTATCAGATCTGTAAACAAGTCTGATGGCTCTATATGGACCAGGAATCGTACCATCTTGGAACTCTGACGTTATCAAAGATAAAAGTCCATCGATAGAGGCGCAATTGTCCAAAGAACAGGTAAACAAGGTTTCATGTTGATCATACAAGGATTGGCAGAGACTTTGGGTTTTATTGAAAAGACTGTTGCCGCTGCCAACAAGATGAGTAATACCCAAATTCTGCTTCAAACAGCAGAACTATGATATCCTGGCCTCCCTGTGATTGACTGATTTGTTGTTATCAAGTTGTACCATAAAATCTTCATATATGAATGGCATTATGTTTATTAATTTCACACAGCTTTACAAACTTTCACGCCATATTGATTCAATGACAAGTAGTTCAAAAACTTTGTTACCCACCCCCCCTGGCTAATTCTTCTAGAAAGCTGGCCAAAGTTGTGGAAGGAAATGGTTGTATTTCCTATTAGAAACCACAGATAATTTACTTGTATCTTCGGAAGGATATTGGACAATGAAACATGTATACAGTATAATATATAATATAGACAATTTCTATACTAGTTACCTTATGAGGATCATCAGAGAATTCCTGTATATTACAAATCAATCATAATATAACATTCATAATTCATTCTAATCTTATATACAATATAAGCAATAAGTATACCATAGCTATTTGTATGAAGTCCATTTTACTTAAGGGAGGGGGGGGGGCAATAATAACGATTATTCAAGTCAAGTTTAATAAGGGGAGATTAATTAATAACACTGTTTCAAATGCACAATGATTATAAATTTGTAAACAATTTGGGAATTTTTTTTTTGGGTACAGCTAATTTGATTGGTATGTATGTGTTAAGATAGAAAAACAAACAGAGAGAGAGAGAGAGAGAGATTATTTGGGTAGATAAAATGTTAGTGATTTTTAAACCGATAGATATTGTATTATCTTTCACTATGGCAAAATGACATCAATGTAATAACAACGCACACATATTAGCATAATTTGATTTTTATAATGAAATAATGCTGACAAATCAACAATAAGAGGCCTTAGTCTTGAAATTTCCAAGAACTTTTTGATTTAAATAAATAATATATATCTTAGAAATCTGTACTTTTGTTTCCGAGTTCACAAAGCATTCTCAGACTAAAGAAATGAAATGAAATGAAATGGGGTTTAACGTCCTACTGTTCTGCTCCTATACTGGGCTAATGAAGACGGGCATACGCCATACAGTGTGCTATGAGGGAAATTTTGCCCGGGCAGCGGCACAATCGCCTACTCTTATATCGAATTCCAACTGCCAAGGGATCTTTTACGTGAATTCCAATGTATACACGGGACCTGGGTTTTTCGTCTCATCCGAAGGACTAGACAGCTGTCCTTGTCAGGCCCTCCGTTCTGCACCACTGACAAGGGGAAACCACGTCGGAAAATCCAGATGAACTTTCTCGGCCAATGCAGGGATCGAACACCCGACCTCCAGGCTAGCGAGCCAGCGTCTTAACCAACTAACCACCGTGGATCCCCTCAGACTAAAGAATTTACTCAACTTTCACTTACTGTGGATGAGAAATATCGTTGATCGAGAAACACAAAACTTTGCACCCAGTTTCTTATTCATGTATTTGATACATTAAAACAACAAATGTTTTATAAAGGGTTATATTTTAGTTACAATAAGAACAATTTTGAATAAATTCTTAACTTAAGCCTGAGAATGCTTTGTGAACTAAGGGCCTGTCCAAATCGATCTTAATCTATTATAGTATGTGTACAGTAAAAAATCACAAGTTTAATTTCAACTACAAATTTTTCAAAACCCAAACTAAATCATTTCTCGATCTTTACCATGAACCAATTTTTCAAAATCCAAAACAAAACCATTCTTGTGATTTAATTTCAAGATTATTTTAATTTTCGAGATTAAGACCCATATTGTTTTAAATATAAAACAGTTTAGTAGTTAGTATATATTGATATAGTCAATGATAATTAGTTTAATAATAAAAACTGAATCTCCAATCACAAAGCACGGAGCAGAAGCATGGAGATAAAGCAAGATAAAAAAGGTTATATAATGTTTTCGGGAGAGAGAAATTTATACTTACGTTGTATTCTGTATAGATAATATCTATAAAACTGCCCAGTACAATAATAAAATCAAATACATTCCACGCATCACCAAAATAATTCTGAAAGAAAGAAATACAATAGTTAATTAATATTATCTAATAAATAATTTTGATCGAACCCTGTGAGCCATTCTGAAACAAATGAAAATTTTGTTGTTTTCATTTTAATAAATATATTGCAAAATCGGGCCACGCGCATTAATTCAATACAATTGTGTTGCCAGGACGAAATGGATATAAATTTCTAATAGTCTGTCAAAAAGGCAGTACATTCAAATTAATATTGTACTGAATTTTGATGCAAGGTTATATTTCCTTTCCTGTATGTAAGGTTAATAAAAAGTAATTCAAACTTGATGGGTTCCGTGAGTGGTCAGTGGGTTTCGGCTCCTTTGAAAAGGTTAAGAACCGAGAGAGAGAAATGGGGTTTAAAGCCCACTCGACACAAACCAGGTCACTTCGAGACTAACATATGGTTCAATTTTATTTCAATAATTTGCTTGTGCGTACTGGTCTTTAGCAGTGGGATGAAATCGGAGGACCCACAGAAAACCCATGAGGTTGGACAGGTGACCCTACTCCTTGTCACATACAACCAGGGAACCACGGATCTAATGCATAATAAGTCAAAACTTTCATGAACATTTTTATATTTCAGTATCCATGGACATAACAGTCAACAAGCACTTGTCTTGATTGTTGCCTGACAGAAAAAGAACAACTCCTACAGAGTCTGCCATAAGAGCATTCAACTTCCCAAAACGCTTGATTAAACTTGACTAATATTACCCAACATGACTGTCTGAATTTTGAATGTTTTCAGCCAATCAGATAGTGTCAAACCATATGATAATTAAGTCGTTATTCCAATCTTCAAGGAAATATCTGAACCAGCAGTTGCCAGGCAAGATACGCCCACATTTTGCAAAAGATGGATAGAGAACAAGCGGGCCATAATCCAGGAAGTTACGATTCGATACGGGCAAGTATCAAAAGAAACCCAGATCTTTGGGATATAAACATATATTTTAAGTTTCATTGAAAACAGATAAAAAAATGTGACCTTGAACTCAAATGTGAAATTCGAACTCAACTGTCATTATGGTGCAACGGTGATAAATTTAAACTTTTTTTTAAACTGGATAAAAATTGTGACCTCTAGAGGAGCAACAAGCGAAAAACGCGATTCTATTCAAAATTAAACCTCTGTCAGCATGTGTATAAAATGAATAATTGTAACGGTGCACGCTATTTAAAACTAAATCTAAAAATATATACCGGTTGTGTTCGGTATTCTATCAGTGGATTATATTCAATGAACATTTAATTTAACTAACAACTGGTCAGTGAAACCATTAAATGTTTGATCGAATTATCATTTTAATATCTACCTGGAAGACTTACAATGCCGACAACATCTCCATTCACCAAGTGGCTAATTTTCACAAAAGGCTACTTACTGGACCATTTATGAATATTCAGAATGCTTGTTTTTGTTTTTTACCGGATTATCAAAATTACCATTAAATGTGCTAATTACTCGGATTATGAAGCACATGAGAGAAAGAGATGGGCTTTATCCTCCAATCAACATATCCATAAATTTTGAATCAATAATCACTAGCGTGTAGGGTTTTTTATCCGTTGCAGGAAATCAGAGGACACAGAGAAAATAAACAAGATTTGACAGGAGACCTTGCTCCTTGTCACGTACAAGCCGGGAATCAAATGACTTAAAGGCAGATATAATGATCTAAGTGCACGCAGTAACCCCCCCACCCCCCAACTTCCCCTACAAAATATGAAGCCCTTAGGATCATATAAAGGGAGAAAAAATTTTTTTAATCACCCTCGATGGCCCTTTCCTCTCAATAACACGAGAACTTCAAAATGAAATGAAATGGGGTTTAACGTCCTACTGTTATGCTCCTAACCTGGGCTAATGAAGACGGGCATACGCCATACAGTGTGCTATAAGGGAAATTTTGCCCGGGCAGCGGCGCTACGGCCTACTCTTATATCGAATTCCAACTGCCGAGGGATCTTTTACGTGCACGCCAATGTGTACACGGGACCTCAGTTTTTCATCCCATCCGAACGACTAGACAGCTGTCCTTGTCAGGCCCTCCATCCTGCATCACTGACAAGGGAAAATCACGCCAGAAAATCGGGATGAACTTTCTCAGCCAATGCAGGGATCGAACACCCGACCTCCAGGCTTGCGATCCAGCGTCTTACCCACTTAGCCACGTGATCCCCCGAGAACTTCAAATGAAATGAGATGGCAAGTAATGTCCTACTTCGACTGGGCTAATGAAGACGGGTCCTGAGAATTTCAAAAACTTGAACATCATCATTTTTTCACTCCCCATTTTCAGGAAATGAAATGGTAGTCAATAGATGGTTGTGTAACACTAGACTTGAATATTGTGTCGCTATGGTTATCTTGTGGTGCTCTGAGAGAAGTAACACTAGACTTACCTTAAACCTAAAGGCTGCAAGTTTGAGCAGGAACTCGACTGTGAAGACACCAGTAAAGATCATATTGAGGTAGTCAAGAGCCTTGGAGTATGTGCCACTTTGACCATAATACTGTAATTACAACCAAATATTCTAGAAAATATAACTTTAGTTAATTTATAGAAAAGTCAATCCACAAAAATCAAAGCATAACTGGGTCAAATGTTCGACCCCCAGATTTATTCTTATCTACAAGTGCATTATCCAGACATCGGTCGTCGCCCACTCATTATCTTGCAAGTATTATACAAATTTGTCAAACAAGTTCTCCTTGGAAGAATTTCATGGCAGTTTTCCAACTTGTTTCCATTTGTCCAGTTTGCTAAGAAATGCGATAAAAAAGATGTTCAAGAAAATTCTGATTCGGAAGTAGCAAAAAAAAGTGAATTTCATAAAATATGGCAGAAACGAACATTTGTCTGCCCAGACAGGTTAAATGTTTGTCGACTTACCTTCATGGCTAAGGTTACTGTATTTATCATAATTAATAGAAAAATACCATACTCAAAAGCCTGTGACGTCACAAACCACCAAATTTTATACTGTAATCTAGCTTTAGGTATGTAACGACGCATAGGTTTGGCTTTCAAAGCAAACTCAATACACTTTCTCTGAAATATAAAATAAAGCCTTGATAAAAATGAGAGAGAGAGAGAAATGGGGTTTAACGTCCACTTGACACAAACTAGGTCATTTCGGGACTAACATATGGTTTTAATTTTATTTCAATAATTCGCTTGCGTATAGGGGTCTTTAGCAGTGGGAGGAAACCGGAGGACCCGGAGAAAACCCACGAGGTTGGACAGGCGACCCTACTCCTTGTCACGTACAACCGGGGATTCAAAACCACGCCAGTCGACTCAATGACAGACTTTATGATACAGCGCACGCACGCTAACCATTCAGCCATCCAACCCCCCTGATGAAAATGAGAAACAATATACAAATAAAGGATTGACCCTAAGTCGCTAATCTAAATTGTTGGAAGAATGACATGAGTCAATTTGTGGAAACTGTCACTTTCTGTCAAACAAGCATGAAAGACATGTCGAGTTAGTTTCATTCACAGAACTGAAATGAAATGAAATGGGGTTTAACGTCCTACTGTTCTGCTCCAACTGGAATAATGAAGACGGGCATACGCCATACAGTGTGCTATGAGGGAAATTTTTTCCAGACAGCGGCACTACAACCTACTCTTATATCGAATTTCAACTGTCAAGGGATCTTTTACGTGCACGCCAATCATTTGACAGTCCTTGAGATTTCACGTGTTAAATCACTAGACCATCCACCCCCCCCCCTTCTCATAAGGAATTTATGTGTTCATTTTTCCAGAAATTATCTAAGAGGTGAGGGATTGCGTCTTGTCAGCAAAATCATTATTGTGGAAATCGACATTAAACCCCAGTGACTACTAATACGGATTCTCTCACGCCTCCTGTTCTGTCTTGTTTCCACACTGTCACACTGTAAATTTTAATTCAAACAGTGTCTTACCTGATTTTTATCCAGTTCACAATTTTTATATTCCTGTTCTCCTTCATTCTGGAAGGTGACGATAACAAAACCAACAAAGATATTCACCATAAAGAAAGCAATAACGATAATAAAGACAAAGTAGAATATGGCCACAAAAGGCCGAAAGTTGTGGATAGGTCCCATCCCCTCCTCATTAGAATCTATAGATTTATATAATAATCTGAAATAAAAAGTAAAACAAAATCAGTAAATATACAGTAAAGTCAACACAGCCAAGTCAAGACTTGGTTTTTTTATTTTGAATTAAGCATGTATTATTCCAGACACGGGACTGTGCAGAACAGTGAACGCTTAAAACTGGACCCTGGATCCATTCACTTGATATATATCTACACCCTTTTGTCTCTCGTTCAATTGATTGTGGATGTCACACAGAAGAAGTCCAGTGCTATACAGACTTTGAAACATCATTTCGACAAGTCTCGGCGTGAAATTGTGGGAGTCAAATAATCGTCTGTATCACAGATTATCAACTAGAACAGACAATGGGTAAGTCAAGCCCCCAACAGAAAGGAATATGCAGACGTAGGCGACAAACATCTTGCACAAGTTGTTGGTAGGATAATGGGGCATTGGTAAGTCCAAATGGAATACAATCCTAATGATTCAACAGTGAATGCAGTCTTTTTTTATACCTTACTCAACATTTACATATAACAGGTTCTAAAGGGTTAACCCGTGCGTAGGTCGTTATATAACGTCCTGGACAACTGCCACTCACTGTGTGTAGGGCGTAATATAACGCCTTGGAGGTATTTTCCCCAACCTATTCTTAGAACATAGTACATAGTTCTTTGTCACTTTGTCAAATTAATTACACAATAGGGGGTAGTTAACGTTTTAAAAACGTCACGCTTAACGGGTTAAACAGGTCTGCGGTGTTCGATTCCAATCATATCGCATTGGTATCCTGGATTGTTACAAAACTTTAACCTTTTGTTATTACAGCGTTTACAAAGTTCTACAAGTGAAACAAGAGCCATACTCTGGAAGTAGTTTATGAAAGTTGCTGAAATTCCATGTAATTAGTTGAGTGTTCGGACGGACAGACAGATGTGAGCAACGACAATAAAAAAAAGAAACTTTTGATAGAAATAAAGATGTTGTGTTGCCAAGAAAGACAGTGACTTACGAAGGCCAGCCTTCAAATGTTGCTACTGTAAATAAAGTGAGCATGGCTTGTTTGACATCATCAAAATTAAAGGCACTCTCTTCCCATTGTCTATCTAATACAATGGGTTGATCAAAATCTCCTTCCTTAAAATCTATATATTGGCCCCTGAAAAATATAAAATGTTAAATTACTATTGGCCCTTTGAGAGAGAGATGGGGTTCAATGGCCACTTAACACAAACTGGATAATTGCAAGACTAACATGGTAGAATTCTATTTCAAAAATTCGTTTGCGTGTAGTGATCTTTAGCACTTGAGAAATCAGGAGGACCTAGAAAACCCAGGAGAGGAGGAGGACCTAGAAAACCCAGGAGAGGAGGAGGACCTAGAAAACCCAGGAGAGGAGGAGGACCTAGAAAACCCAGGAGAGCAGGAGGACCTAGAAAACCCAGGAGAGGAGGAGGACCTAGAAAACCCAGGAGGACCTAGAAAACCCAGGAGAGCAGGAGGACTTAGAAAACCCAGGAGGACCTAGAAAACCCGGGAGGACCTAGAAAACCCAGGAGAGCAGGAGGACCTAGAAAACCCAGGAGGACCTAGAAAACCCGGGAGGACCTAGAAAACCCAGGAGAGCAGGAGGACCTAGAAAACCCAGGAGAGTGACAGGCGACTTTACTCCTTGTCATATACAAGTGTGGGATTGAAACCACTGCAATTGACTCAATGACTGATCTTATGATCTAAAGTGCATGCCTGGAAAATGCAAAATAAAAACATCTAAAAAAACTACTGTTTGAATGGCATTTAGTAATTGAACACATTAAACATACATTATGCAAGAGCTAAATCTGCCTATTGCAAGTCTTTCTTTAGGCCTGAAATGTTATCTAAATTATTAATTAGACATAATCAACTCCCAATGTCATTGCTAGCCTATGATATTTACTGGATTACGATCCGATTTGCTGCTCAACTTTCATTCATGATTAAATGATTTTTATCATATCGAATTTAGTAATGATGATCGAGGCTAGGTCGAAAATTCAATCGCTAAATTCTCGGTTCAGAGTGGACCAATTTGACTGAAATTTTTAGCTAATTCCCTTTACACTATCTAGTTTTTAACTATTATAGTGAGAACTGCCAGTCCTTTATCTAATCTCCCATAATGTATCTTTAAGGTAAACACAAGGGTTCTAGGGATAAACAATTACTGTATTGTGCTTGAAAGCGACAATAGAATCATTTTTGAAACGTAGCTCAGATTAAAAATACAATAATTGTTTATCCATAGAACTCTTGTGTTTATCTTGACAACTGCAATATTCAGTATTCATCTCATTCTTAAAATATTTAATACGGGTTACAAGTTGTCAAAATTTGTTTGGTTGTGTTTGTGAGACAGAGAAATGGGGTTTAACGTCCACTCGACACAAACTAGGTCATTTCGGAACTAACATATGGTTTAATTTTATTTCAATATTTCACTTGTGCGTAGGGGTCTTTAGCAGTGGGAGGGAACCGGAGAACACAGAGAAAACCCACTAGGTTAGACAGATGACCCTACTCCTTGTCTCGTACAACCGGGGATTTGAAACCACGCCAACTGACTCAATGGCAGACCTTATGATACAGTGCGCAAGCGCTAACTATTCGGCCATCCAACCCCTGGTTGTGTTTGTATCTCATGACTTATTCACTGTTATGAAATTGGAATTCAACCAAGTTCCAAAAACATTACTTACCGACATTCTGCTTCAGACAATTTAGATGTATCTGTACATTTGTAAAATTTTCCCTAAAAAAACAAAACAAAAAATATTTAGCATGTTTTGGAAAAACTTATTCCTTACAATGAATCATAAATCACAACACAAACCTTAACATCATAAATGGAGCTTAACATTCAATCGACACAAACTATGTCATTTCGGGACTAACATATGGTTCCATTTTATTTCAATAATTTGCTTGCGCGTAGGGGTCTTTAGCAGTGGGAGGAAATCAGAGGACCCCAAGTAAAGCCATGAGGTTGGCCAATTAAACAGAGACCATCTTTCTACTGTTACTAACTATTCCTCAAAACTTTGATCAGTAGCTCTATATATATCACAACACTAATTATAGCGGAAAATTTTAATGAAAATCTACGAAGAACTGAACCCCGTAAAAAGTAAGTAGGACTATCGTAAATATGTATATTTATCAACAAACTCTGAAAATCTATATTCAACATTTTGACCCAAATACTAACTATTCCTGAAAATCTGAAGAAAATTGGTGAAATAACAAACTCTTAATGTGAATATAAGTGTGGACAAACGACAAACAGCGGTGATGACAATAAAAAGTTACATCAGGGATCAATGCGGTTTCAAAATTTTTGCTTGTCAGACATTTTTAGTAGGGATTAACAGCTGAGAATTAGGTAATCAAAAGTTCTTGTCAGCTACATGAAATACGGTCAATAAAAAACAACAAATTTACCTTAAATAGTTGAACTCCTATTACAGCAAACATAAATTTGAGAAGGAATGTGACCAGCATAATATTATAGATAGTTTGTACAGCTACAATAACACACTGTACTACATGCTGTAATAATAAAAATATATAAACATATTATAAACCAGGTTAAAATATATAAACATATTATAAACACTCCACTATAAACCAGATTAAAATATATAAACATATTATAAACACTCCACTTAAATATATAACCATATCATAAACACTCCACTGTATACCAGGTTAAAATATATAAACCTATTATAAACACTCCAATGTATACCAGATTAAAATATATAAAAATATCATTTCTTTCACATTCGTTTAATTTCAAATCTTTGTATAAAAATTCGTAAAAATCATTTAAAAACACCCAAATCAACTAATTTGTACTTGTGTCCAGTTTAAAGCTGACTCATTTACAATTGTTGATTTACAAGTGTTTAATTTCTCGATCACTGTTAAAAAATAAACAATTGATTATTGATGTATAATGACTAAGTCCTTAAAGTGGGCGGGAAATTAAATACTTGTAAATTGGACACTGATTATCAAAATTAATCAGTTGTTAGCTTTAAACTGATTTTTACGAATCTTTAAACAAAGATTTGATATTAAACAAATGTGAAAGAAATTAGTGCTAGATATACAAGATTAAATGATACCCGGGTTACAGTGATGATACAATACTATATCTCCATAGCAACTATAGATGTTTAAAGCTGACTATTGCCAGTATCTACCTTTTGTAATTGAGATAATATTAACCTTCAATATCACATGCTCTAGAGATGAAAGGATATGAAATGACGTTTAACGTCCTGCTGTTCTGCTTCCAACTGGGCTCACGAAGACGGCCAAACACCATAGAGTGTGCTGTGAGGGAAATTTTGCTCGGACGACGGCACTATGGCCTACTGTTATATCGAATTCAAATTGTCAAGGGATCTTTTATGTGCAGGCCAATGTTTACACGGATCCTCGGTTTTTCGTTCCATCCAAACAACTAGACAGATGTGCCTTCCGTCCTGCATCACTGACAAGGGTAAACCACACCGGAAAATCTGGATGAACTTTCTCGACCAATGCAGAGATCGAACGCCAGGCTAGTGAGCGTCTTGCCCACCGTGACTTCTATTCTATTCGAAATATAACCTGCGAGCTCGGCTCTAAGGTTTTTCTATTTCGAATAACAACCTGTAAAGCGGTTGCTATTTTCTATATACAGGGAGGAGGTTTAGCTCCTTTAAAACAGTATTATTAAAAAATCCTACCTTTAGACCTTTAGCTCTGTTTATGGCACGTAAAGGACGCAGTACTCTCAACACACGGAGAATTTTTACAACTGATATAGCTTCATGGCTGAAAATATTTTAACAAAATATAAAAATCATAATTTCATCTGGATATGAACAAAAGACCCAAGAACATTGATTTCCGATCAGTTTAAAGTACACTGAAGATTTGCTTAATATGAAGTGCTTTTTTTTTTACCCTGTGGCATAAACAGAAACTCTTCACCACATAATTCAACATTTTAATTGTGTAATTGTCATGGAAAATTTGAAAAGATAAATTGTTTATGTCAAGACAAGACAGAACTAGGCAGTAAAAGCAGGGGAGTAATCAATATTTTTATTCAAAATTGTGGTAAAATATGATATACAGTTCTTATTTGTTCAACAATGAAAATTATTTGTTAAAATAACATTTCAATATGTGTCCAGTTGCTGTGTACACAAATATATTTTATCATAGTGAAATGCATGGTAAGTCAGTGTATAAAAATAATGATTTCAATTTTCATTTTTTTAGGTGAGAGGGAGAGAGAGAAATGGGGTTTAACGTCCACTCAACACAAACTGGGTCATTTCAAGACTGACATATGGTTCAATTTTATTTTAATAATTGATTAAATGGCTTGTGCATAGTGGTCTTTTATCAGTAGTGGGAGGAAACCAGAGGACACAGAGAAAACCCAAGAGGCTGGACAGGCGACCCTATTCCTTGTCATGTACAATCAGGGATTCAAAACTACGCCAGTGGACTCAATGACAGACCTTGTGATAAAATGCACGCATGCACTATTCATTCGGCCATCCACCACCCCCGCCTCCCAATTTGATTGGAACAAAAGAAACAAGGACATGAAGTGAGTTCAAATACCATGTCTTCAGTTGCTGTGTATACAAATAGTTTTAATTTATTGTGCATGTGTGTATACTGTATGCAGTGTTTAGACATACATTATATAAGAGCTAAATCTGCCTATTGCAGGTCTTTCTTTAGGCCTTAAATGTTATATAAACTATCAATTGGACATTTATAAACATGACAAGACCATAATCAATTCTTGATGCCATCAGAGATATTCGAGAATTTAACTAGATTAAAACACTTAGGCTATTTAATTATTTAATTCAAATAAGGGCAAGCGAGGCTAGACTTGAATACACCAGTATCGTGATTTTGATTAATAATAAACAATCAATGAGCACATCTTGTCAATACTACAAACAGTGAAACCTTGGCTCAAAATAAAGTAAATTGAATGGCATTTTCAGTGTATTCACTTTACATAATCTATTTTGGAACCATATTAGCAAGAATGGCCAGCTCTTCATATCTAAATCTTACATAATGTATCTTTAATATATTGTACATAAAACGTGTGATTTCTTTGATCAGATATTCTCTGAGCTATAAAACTTTGATTTGATTGTCACTGAATATATATATAGTATAATATATGAATAATCCAGGGCCATCTCAAAGCATGGGCAAGCTGGGCAATTGCCCGGGCGCCCAATGAGCATAGGGGCCCAATGATAATCTATGTTGTTATATTGTTCAAATATTTGTGTTGATTAATCTTCTCATGTTTTTAAGGTTTTAATTTTTATAACCACTGATTTTGTTTCAAGCACCAATATAATAAATATATGTTTAATTTTATCGACGATTTACATTTTTAATCGTGTGAGTGGTTGTTTAGGTAGGGATCCCAGTGTACTGCTTTGCCAAGGGGCCTATAATGCTGATAAGACGACCCGGGAAGGATGGCAAGGGTGCTCACATGTATAACATATTTTGCTCAGAAAACGACCGAAAAAACCCCAAGATTAAAGGATTTTTTAAAGAGTAAACATTGCAGTAGCTCTCTTAATCAGGTGACGCAGAAGTCAGTCAGGTCTCAGTTCTGTTGTTTCACACCGAGTAGATTCATGATGTACAATGTAATTAAACACAACAAATATGTTTCAGCTGTCCTGGTTGGTTGGTTGGGATATTTTCTGCCTCAGTCGCTGCATGCATTGTTGTCCGAAATCCAATTTTTCACTCGCTTGTCACTATTTGGGATTGACAGAATTAAATTCTGGAACAATCAATAATGTAACAATTTTAACTACTTTAAAGAATGGGAGTCAGCTTCTAGGCCATATGGCACAATAGGAAAGTATGAACGCATGGCAAAAGCGGAATATTCAAAAGCAATTTTTAAAATTTTTGACAATTTGAGGGTTGTCAATGAGAGAGAGAGAGAGAGAGAGAGGGGGGGGGGAGGTTTAACTCCACAACACAAACTAGGTCATTTTGGGACTAACACATGGTTCAATTTTATTTCAATAATTCGCTTGCGTGTAGGGGTCTTTAGCAGTGGGAGGAAACCAGTTGACTCTATTCGAAATCACACCAGTTGACTTAATGACAGACCTTATGATACAGCGCGCACATGCTAACCATTCGGCCATCCAACGCCTCTGTGTGATTGTGAATACTAAGAATATCTAGTGTGTGAACATCATGTGTAGTATAAATATGTATATATATATTATATTAAGATATATAGATATAACATTCAACTGATTCAGATAGTCTTTCCAATCTGGTTAAAACACAGATCCTATTTCGTTTCGTTTTTTATAGTTCAAAATTTTGTTTTTACTTTTCTTCATTACACTAGGATCTGGATTAGTTGTTAAATTACTGGCGTTCTGATTGAAGTGAGGGATTAGCCAATGAAACGATCTGTTATGGAGAGTTCTTGGCGTGCGATGCACGGAACTGTGGGTAAACCACTAGCAACACCAATGCTGATTGATTAATCAAGGTCTGACGTCATAGGGTCAAAAGTCGCTTGTGCGACCCCGGACGCGAAGTGAAATATAGATCTGTATTTTATTCAGATTGATAGTCTGCCCCAAGTATACAAATACTACCATGACACATCTTAATCTCATGACTTAAAGGGACACATGACATATATATAGTACCTATCATAACACACTGGTCACTGATTTGGACATAACAATTCCAAGATATGTCATAACAATTTAAGACACATGCCATGGCCATAGACACATTATAATGTCATGACTGTTAAGTTCTCAGGACTAAGACACATGTAAACACATGTCATGACAATAGACAAATCATAATGTCATGGCTGTTAACATCTCAGGACTAAGACATATGTAAACACATGTCATGACAATAGACACATTATAATGTCATGGCTGTTGACATCTCAGGACTAAGACACATGTAAACACATGTCATGACAATAGACAAATCATAATGTCCTGACATACATGGACATAGATCTTACCTCCTGTCATCACCTCTAATATCAAATCATACATATATAGTAGAACAATAAAAATAGAGTTTACCAAAAGAAATTGCATTGCAGTTTAAACTCCATGAGCATTACTAATCACAGCAATGGTTAGCGAGAGAGAGAGAAATGGGGTTTAATGTCCACTCGACACAAACTAGGTCATTTCGGGACTAACATATGGTTTAATTTGCTTGCAAGTAGGGGTCTTTAGCCGTGGGAGGAAACTGGACGACCCAGAGAAAAACCACACGAGGTTGGACAGGCAACCCTACTCCTTGTCACGTACAACCGGGGATTCAAAACCACACCAGGTGACTCAATGACGGGCCTTATGATACAACGCGCACATGCTAACCATTCGGCTATCCAACCCCCCGCAATGGATAGCCTAGAGAAATGGGTTTAAGTAATTCTGGAACTTTGTATATTACAAACGTTTTTGAAATCTTTGGAGGTTCCTCATCTACAGAAAAAGGAGCGACTATCAGCTATGTATGTCTACCTGCGAATTCATTGGATCTAGGGCAATTGCTGGCGTGAATGAATTGATAAGAATTAGTTAAGCAATTATTAGTTATTTTTAATTTATTATAGTAACAAAAAGAACCTAACAAATAAAAAAAAGAAAACAATATGGCTAATGATTATTGTCCTTGTCAGCAATTGCCCCTCCCCCCCCACCAAGACTGTAAAGGTAAAGATACTTACTCAAGTGGGAACGATATCAAGGAAACTGCTACAACAATTAAATCCAGAATATTGAATGAACTGCGACAGAATGATTCTTTATGTAGAACCAAACCATATGTTATAATCTGTAACAAGAAAATACATCAACCTGTTAATCTTCTATGTCAGTCATTATTGCTGGTTTAGAAAATAAGAAACAGGCGTTTGCCATGCAAGATACGCTCACTATTTCTAAGAGATGGATGGAGAACAGGGAAAATCGATAGGGCTCATCCTCCCATTGTCCCAATGCTTCACAAAAGTTTAACGTAACGACCACAGTGTTCTTTTCTGTGGATAAGTATGTAACGCCAAGGGAGAGAACACCAATGTTTATGCCAACTCTTCTATTAATTCCAAAAGCAATGTGATCTCAAAATACCTACAATTTTTTTTTTTTATAAGAAATCTCCTTTATTTTTGCCCCACTGGCACACTCTTTCATTGTCAGCAAATATTTATTAGGCCACACAAATTAAAAATTTTGCTTATTATAAACAAAAAAGTACTTGAGTGTTCTTCTAAAAAGTTTCATTTTAACGAACAGACAGACTATTCTCAGTCCAACTGAATTCTATACAGAAGTTCCGTTACCTCTCTCTCTTCCGACCCCCTCCCCCCTAAACCTTGGTTCATTTACATTTTCTTATCTACTTACTTTAATAATAATTTCAATAGTAAACACGCTGGTGAAAAAATAGTCAAAATGGTTTAAAATCTGAAAAATAAACAAAGAACCATATTTAAATAGAAGTTGAAAAACCAATACATTAATATATTTACAGATTAGAAAGTTCATCCAGATGTTCTGGCGTGGTTTCCCCTTGTCAGTGATGCATGATGGAGGGCCTGACAAGGACAGCTGTCTAGTTGTTCGGATGGGACAAAAAAACGAGGTCCTGTGTACAGACTGGCATGCATGTAAAAGATCCCTTGGCAGGTGGAATTCGATATAAAAGTAGGCCGTAGCGCCGCTGTCCGGGCAAAATTTCCCTCATAGCACACTGTATGGCGTATGCCTGTCTTCATTAGCCCAGGTTAGGAGCAGAACAGTAGGACGTTAAACCCCATTTCATTTCATTTCATACAGAGAAGGGGGGTTGGATGGCTGAATAGTTAGCACGCGTGCGTTGTAACACAAGGTCTGTCATTGAGTCAACTGGCATTGTTTCGATTCCCCGGTTGTATGTGACTAGGAGTAAGGTCGCCTGTCCAACCTGGTGGGTTTTTCCCCAGTTTCCTCCCACTGCTAAGGACCCCTTCGTCCTGCACCACTGACAAGGGGACTTTCTCGGCCAATGCAGGGATCGAACACCCGTCCTCCTGGCTAGAAAGCCAGCATTTTTCCCACTTAGCCACTGTGGCTCCCTAATAAAATAGAATAGGTTGCCAGGCAACAAACCGTAAATAGGTGAAATTGGCCAAGCAATACATAAACAGCTACCCAACCACCAAGTATTTTCCGGCATGGTTCCCCCTTGTCAGTGATGCAGGACGGAGGGCCTGACAAGGACAGCTGTCTAGTTCTTCGGATGAAACGAAAAACCGAGGTCCCGTGTATACATTGGAATGCACGTAAAAGATCGCTTGGCAGTTGGAATTCGATATAAGAGTAGGCGATAGTGCCGCTGCCCGGGCAAAATTTCCCTCATAGTACACTGTATGGTGTATGCCCGTCTTCATTAGCCCAGTCGGAGGAGAACAGTAGGACGTTAAACCCCATTTCATTTCATTTTCATTTCATTTCACCAAGTATTATTGAGAGAATTAAAATCTTATAACTTACGTTATTTCTAGGTGATTCCGACCGTAATGGATCTTCTGCAGCCAACATAGCACTACTGATTAAAATACACACCAGAACCACATTACGGAAGTAAGAATGATTGCATATCCTGTGACATAGGACTCGGAATCTAAAAATAAACATCATTAAAACTAAAAGACATACCAGTAATCAACATTTTAAAAAGGTAAAACTTCAAAATTTCAAGCTTTGCTTTCACAAAACAAACATTACTTTACAATTTTAAAGCTAAAAAAAAAATCAAATGAGCTTGAACATCTCGTCAACACAATAATTTGCTTATTACAAAAAGTATTCAGTTAGTATCGTTGAATTCTGACAAGGTAGCAACCAAATTTCTAGTTAGCAATAAATAATCTTTTCTCTTTATAATTTCTTGGAAAACTGTGTTTAAAATATTTGACTTCACAAAATATTTTATCGTTAAGAAAATATTTTGATCAATTTTGAAATATCTCTGATAATTGTAAATGCTTTCTGCCTGATTCTGTGGTAGATATTTGTTTATAAATGGGGGGTTGGATGGCCGAATGGTTAGCACGTGCGTGCTGTATCATAAAGTCTGTCATTGAGTCGACTGGCGTGGTTTTCAATCCCTGGTTGTACGTGACAAGGAGTAGGGTCGCCTGTCCAACCTCGTGGGTTTTCTCCGGGTCCTCCGGTTTCCTCCCACTGCTAAAGACCCCTACGCGCAAGCGAATTATTGAAATAAAATTGAACCATGTGTTAGTCCCGAAATGACCTAGTTTGTGTCGAGTGGACGTTAAACCCCATTTCTCTCTCTCTCTCTAGTTTATAAATCCTGCTTCACAACTCACTTGTTTGTGTGAGAAAATAGGAATAAAGAGCTGGCCTTTGGTATTGGTCTAGCTTTATCCGAAATATGAATCTCAGACATTCTTCGTGGTCTCATCTGTGTTGAAGTTGTTTGTGCATCTTCTTCTTCCTCGTCCATTTCATCATCTGTTGTCCTTTCTTCATCTTCTGTTTCTTCCCCTTTCTCTTCATCATCGGTATCTTCTAAAAATTAAGGCATAGAGTCTTAATTTATTATGGAATTCTTCTATACTTTTGAAATTCGGAAGCTAAGCTTACCAGTACATTAAAATTAATTGGAAAACCTAGTCCCAAATCCAGGGCAATAACTCTATCCATGATTCGGAGACACAGTGGCTAAGTGGGTAAGACGCTGACTTGCTAGTCTGGAGGTTGGGTGTTTGATCCCTGCATTGGCCGAGAAAGTTCATCGGGATTTTCTGACATGGTTTCCCCGACAAGGTTGTCAGTGGTGCATGACGGAGGCCCTGACAAGGACAGCTGTCTAGTCGTCCAGATGGGATGAAAAACTGAGGTCATGCGTGCACATAAAAGATCCCTTGGCAGTTGGAATTCGATATAAGACTAGGCCATAGTGTCACTGCCCGGGCAAAATTCTCCTCATAGCAAACTGTATGGCATATTCCCACCTTCATTAGCAGAACAGGCCCAAATAAAGACCTGCAACAGACAGATTTAGTTCTTGCATAAGGTATGTTTAATATTTCGACCATCTGATGAACTTGTCATGTGAATAAATGTCGAAATAATAATCTATGTAACATATGAAGCTAGAAAAAAGACCAGCAATAGCCACATGTAGGTCTTACATAATGCATCTTTAATGCGTGAAATACACTAAACAGATGATCAAAGTTATCATACCTTGAATTGGAACTTGCTGATTGTGACGATATTCACCAGTATCGGCATCCTCAGCACAGAGATTAATGCGTACGTGATGATCGACAGTGGTACTTTCTCTACGACTTCTGTAACACAAATTTCAATATTAATTATTACATAGCATTATTAAAGATACATTATCACAGATTAGTTAAAGAGCTGGCAATTATCACTATAATAGTTAAAAACTAGATAATGTAAAGGCAATTTGCTGAAAATTTCAGTCAAATTGATCCACTATGAACCGAGATTTTAGCGATTGAATATTGCGGCTAGCTTCGATCATCATTACTAAAGTCGGTACGATAAAAAACATAGTCTTGATTATCCATTTTTTTATTTAATTATGAATGGAAGTCGTACAGCAAATCGGAACCTAATCCAATAAACATCGCAGGCTAGCAATGCCATCGATAGTTGATTATGGTCTGGATAAGTTAATTAATGTATAATTACTAATTTAGATAACATTTCAGGCCTAATGAAAGACCTGCAATAGGCAGATTTAGCTCTTGCATAATGTATGTTCAACTGAGTGCATTTAAAAAAAAAAAAATAAATATGTATTTTAATCATTGAGAATTTGTCTATACATTTTTTGTCAGATATAACTTCTGTAGTTCGGTTAGCTTACAGATCATGTGATCTTAAGGATCTTGTACAGAGCGATGAGTATGACATGTACACGTTTTGGCAGGTTTTGTGGGGTTTTGCTATTTAATAATGTACAATATCATGTGATCTTGAGGATCTTGTACAGAAATAGATTCCTGAGTATGACATGTACACGTTTCAGCAGGTGTTTTGTGGGGTTTTGTTGTGTAATGATGTATGATATCAAGATTTATCACCCAATAATACATTCTACAGTAGATATCGCTTGTGTGATAACTTTCATAATCTACTGAGCAATATCGCTTTACATGAATATGATTGGTCAATTAAAAAGGAACTACTTTTTGGATCCAGTGAAGAAAATTTCTCAATCACCATAAACATAGCTGTGTACCTATTTAACATTATTTAGTTGCTGCGGGATTATTTTGCAGCTGACTCATTTTCATGGATAATATCTTGTTGTCTTTTTTGAAGCGGCATTATGGAAATTAAATAAAGAGCTGACAGTTTTCGTTATAACAGATAATTTAACAGTAATATGCTGAAATGCTTGGTTAAATTATTACACTCTGAGTCGAGAAATACTCATTTTAATAACGTTGTAGCCTAGATTGTCAATGTTACGATAATAAACAAAGTCTCCATTATCAATATTTATGGTTAATCATTACGACTGTTGAACAGCAGGTCGGATTCTAATCCAGTAAATATTGCAAGCTAGCAATGCCATCTAGAGTTGATTATGGTCTGGACAAGTTAATAAATGTCTAATTAATAATTTAGATAACATTTCAGGCCTAAAGAAAGACCTGCAGTGGACAGATTTACCTGTTACATAATGTATGTTTAAGATAACTTCATAGTAAACGGTCATTTTTTTTTACAATAAATTTAATGGTACTAGTTATTTTTCAATCTGATTAAAACACAGATCCTATTTCGTTTAATTTTCTTACCTTCTACTTCTGTTACTAGGATGACGGCTCAATGTTTCTACTTTTTCTTCGCCACTTTCAGCTTCGTTATTCTCATTACCATTTACATCTACCCCTTCATCTACTTCAGCATCCTAGTAAAATATATACGGACAATACGTAAATAGTTTATTTATTGGTTTTAAGTTACGGACAATATGCAAAAAGTTTACTTTTATTACCATCATATTAATTTATTACACAAAGCACAAGAGGAATTTGATATGCAAGTCCGAACTTAGTAAATCATTAACCATCCACTATTTCATCTACTATGAAAGAGAGATAGAGAGAGAGAGAGAGAGAGAGAGAGGAGGGGAGAAAGAGAGAGAGAGGGGGGAGGGAGGGAGAGAGAGAGAGAGAGATGGTTTAACCCCCCACCGGACACAAACTAGGTCATTTCAGGCCTAACATATGGTTTAATTTTATTTCAATAAAACTCCCTCTCCAGTGCACTCACTAGTTATCATGCTTCTCTCATCACATGACCTGTGTATTCACAGAACTCTGACTGTTAATCTCTCACTCACAACTAGCAAACCACATAGTCAACAGGGATGGGTTGCCTTTATTGTTTAATTTTTCATTATTTTTGCTTACCTGAGAATCTTTAACAGGACTCTTACTCTTAGATCTTCTGATGGATCGAGTGCGTTCCTTCTCCTCATTCTTTTGTTCTTCTATTTCTGTTAAACTCTGGGCATCGGCTAAATTATCAACAGCAATAGCCAAGAAGACGTTCAACAGAATATCTGATTGTACCGTCAAAGAAAATTATGTAAACTACTGCAACCACGCACATATCAAATTATGGCAACTACTACAAGCAGGCACATATCAAATTATGTCAACTACTACAAGTAGGTACATATCAAATTATGTCAACTACTACAAGCTGGCACATATCAAATTTGATTGTAGGTTATCTAATCAAGCAGTCTTAATTATTAACATACTCTTGTATAGCAAAAATTAAGTTTAATTTCAATATAACCTGGGAGAGAGAAAGAGATGGGGTTTAACGTCCACTCGACACAGACTAGGTCATTTCGGGACTAACATATGGTTTAATTTTATTACAATAATTTGCTTGCACACAGATTCGCTTGCACGTAGGGGTCTTTAGCAGTGGGAGGAAACTGGAGAACCTGGAGAAAACCCACAAGGTTGGACAGGCAACCCTACTCCTTGTCATGTACAAATGGGAATTCGGAACCATGCCATTTAACTCAATGACGGGCCTTATGATACAGCCAAACGCGCTAACCATTAAATTAAATGCTCGTAAATTAGACACTCATTATCAAAAATTAAATAGTCAGCTTTAAACTAGACACATACAAATTACATGTAGATGATTTTTTGGTGATTACAAAAGATTTTTACAAATTTTTAAACAAAGATTTGATATTAAAAGAATGTGAAAGAAATTAATGCTAGATACACAAGATTAAATGATACCTGGATTACAGTGTTTGTTTCCATGGAAACAAATGATCAAATCTGTGACATGACTAGTATAAAAGGTTGATGTGTGTACAAAGTTTCAGAAAAATATCAGGCATTTTGAATGTTTTGATCAAATGCTCTGTGTTTTTTTAAAAGGATACAGTTACCGCAAATAAAAAGAACAACAAAATAAAGACAAACAACACATCCAATTCCTTCAACACCACCATATGCTCGTATACCATCATACATAACAACATTCCAATCTTCACCAGTCAATATCTACAAATAAAAAATGAATAAATAATGATACTTGTAGTACCACTTGGCAAACCTTGGCAAACTCTGGTACCCTACACTTAGCCTCAGCTGTACGACGATGAGTGATATGTACCTACACCTATACAATTGCGATGCGACTACCAGTTTACTTAACAGGAAAACTTGCAGCTTTTAGAAAGAAGTTCTCAAAATTGGGTTGTTCGAAGAGTGCATAGGGTTTTCATTGCAAATCTGTACTTTGTTTAAAGAAAATCGGATAAACTTTAAAAAAAACAGCTTCAGACATTGAAAGCTTTGTATGATAAAAAAACTCTTCCAATGGCGGAATTTGTCATACAGTCGAGGATAGATGTAGGGTATTGGAGTCTGCTGAGGTTTGCCGAGTGTTGTAATACATCATGCTCCACTTCTTGTCTGGGTCCAGTTGACAGAGGATATGTACACAACTCTATTAAACTTACATTGTTTGCAACTTAAAACAAACTTTGAGAAACATACACTGTAATTGATTATCTCCCCTTTGACCACAAAGATCTTGTCCGGGTCCAGTTCACAGAGTGTATGTACACAACTATATTAAACTTACATTGTTTGCAACTTAAAACAAACTTTGAGAAACATACACTGTAATTGATTATCTCCCCTTTGACCACAAAGATCCTGGAGTAACATTTACATCCATGATCAAGGTTCAGTTGGGAGCATTATTCAAGGATGAAGACAGAGAATTTAACTAAAATTCAATGACAACTTTTGTCTTGGATTTCATTGACAGTGATGAAAATGGTGATGTCATTTTTGTTATATCAGTTAAGTATTAATAGGGGCACCCAATGTCATGCATGTATTCCGCAAAACAATTTAGTTGACGCATCATATATGACTCAACAATTCAGCACTTTAAGGGGAGGCACTGCTCGACAAATATGAATTTTAAAATAACTGGCTTCTAATAATGCTATCAACTTGAAATTTTCAGGAATTGTTCACATCGACAAAAAAGGCTAATCGGCAGTTTTGGGGGAATCTGCTTTACTGGTTACCATGGAAACAAAAAAAATCATTTTTACTGCTTAAAAAAAATCGTTCTCTGAAAGTATCAAAGGTAGAAGCCTGGAACTTTTTTTTAAAATGTTCCTAGGACATTTCTCTGTGCAATTATCAATATAGTGTTGTTATTGTGTCCTTACATGTCATTCTATGTCAACAAAACAAAAATTATGAAAAATGTTGTTTTCAATGAGAGATTTCAAATGCCAATTTACTACACTAAAAATTCATTTAGAGTACTGAAAATCCTTATTTGCATGGAAATAACATTACTTAAGTATGTGTGTAAGTTTCAGACATATCTGTTGTAAACTTTTCAAGAACGATTTTTTGTAAGGTTGTCGACTGTTGATATTTTACTTTTTGAGAAATTAAGACATAAAGAGGTAAAACAGCAAAATTTGAATTGCAAGAGTGTTCAAAAGTGCATTTTTTCTATCATAAACCACTTTATATGTATTTTCTTTAATTACAAGTGAAATAAAAATGAATGAACATCACAAATATGCAAATATAAAAAATCGATAATTTGAGTCAAAATTGACATTTGTCGACCCTTTAAGAATTAGGATAACTGTTCATTCACTTTATGAGGGGAGAGAAAGAGATAGAAATGGGGTTTAACATCCACTTGACACAAACTAGGTCATTTCGTGACTAACATATAGTTCAATTTTATTTCAATAATTCACTTGCGCGTAGGGGTCTTTAACAGTGGGAGGAAACTGAAGGATTCGGAGAAAACCCACGATGTTGGACAGGCGACCCTACTCCTTGTCACATACAACCAGGGAATTGAAACCGCGCCAACCATTTGACCATTCCCCCCCCCCCAAACTTTTAATAACTACATGAGGCCTGTACATGTATGCAATTCACATAGTGTACTTAAACCACACTGCAAGAGACTTACCTGAAAGACGGTGAGTAGAGACTGGAAGAAAGTATCAAAATTACTGCGAGGTTTCATCTTAGAATGGTCAAAGTTAAATCGTCCACCAAACAGCTGCATCCCCAATAAGGCAAATATCACAATAAAGAGGAAGAGTAGTAACAATAAACTGGCAATAGAACGCATACTGTTTAACAAAGAGGCTACAAGATTTCTTAGAGAAGACCAGTATCTGAAATAAGCAAAAAAATTTATATAGTGTAGGTTACCAGGGAGAGAGAGAGAGAGAGAGAGAGAGAGGGGGGGGGGAAGAGATGCTTCAACATCAATGTGGGAGGGCATCCAGAGAAAAACACGACATTAGCTAAACAACCCTAGTGCTTATATTAAGATCGAACAAATGGCCTGGATCAAAGACGAATCATGATATCATCAGAGTCCATGTTCAACAACCACTGTGGTCAATTTAATAAAGAACAAAGAATGACATGAGAAGGAGAGTCTAACATCCATTTGACAGGAACTGGAGCATTTCGACACTATCATATTGTTCAATTCTATTTTTAGCTGTTGGACGAAACCGGAGGAACCAGAGGGAAACCACAGGTTGGACAGACGACCCTACTCCTTGTCACGTAGACAGGGATGTAACTAGCTCAGAGCAACGAGGGGGGGCAGGAAGTGTTCTCAGGGGGTGCTGTAAAATTGACGGATAATGTATATCTATTGTTTTTATGGTCGACAATTTTTTCACAGGGGGGTAGGGTGGGCGAAAACTTTTTGCTGGAGGACTTTGCCGGCCCCTCTGACGAAGAAAATTACGCGGAAAAATTTAAAAATCCTGGGGAACTTTCCTGACCCTCGCAGGGGGGAGAGAGAGAGAGAGAGAGAGAGAGATGGGGTTTGACCTCCACTCTACACACACTAGGTCATTTGGGGACTAACATATAGTTCAATTTTATTTTAATAATACACTTTCACATAGGGGTCTTTAGCAGTGGGAGGAAACTGGAGGACCCGGAGAAACCCCACGAGGTTGGACAGTCCAGTGTAAGGATCAAACATGGGACCAATGAGCAACTATGGCTCACTAAAGACTCACCTATGTTGGTCAAGGTATCAGAAGAGTTTAACGAGAGGATTAAATCAATTACCTGGTTGCTTTAAAGACACGTAATAATCTGGCACATCGCAACACACTGACACCTAATGGTGGCATAACTTCTGTATAGATTAGAACCACCTCTAATATACTACATAACACAACAAAACTGTCAAAACGGTTAAACAAAGACACAAAATAACCCTGGAAGCCTAAACTGTACATTTTTAACAGCATTTCAAATGTAAATAACACAACAAAAAACAAATTGGCGATACCTGAAAATAAAAAAAAATAAAATTCATTATTAATTAAAATTCCAACTGTCAAGGGTTCTTTTACGTGCATACCACACAAGAAAATCCTGAGGTACTATCTCGGAAATGAAACAAAATGGGTTTTAACGTACTACTGTTCTACTCCGACTGGGCTAATGAAGACAGGCATACGCCATACATTGCACCACTGACATGGGGAAACCACACCAGAAAATCCCAATGAACTTTATTGGCCAACACCGGGATCGAACCCGCGACCTCCAGAAAGCAAGCCAGTGTGTTACGCACTTAGCCACTGTGACTCTGGTGCTTTCTCGGCCAACACAGGGATCTCCAGGATAGCGTGCCGAGAACTCTGGGTTAACGAGCCAACACCTAACTCACTACTGATCCACCACATCTCCCGTGTAGTCACATGACTTCTTTGTTCATGATATCGTATCAAAGAACGTTTTAGAAAATATTTATGAAAGAGAGAGAGAAATGGGGTTTAACATCCACTTGACACAAACTAGGTCATTTCGGGACTAACACATGGTTCAATTTTATCGCAATAATTCGGTTGTGCGTAGGGGTCTTTAGCAGTGGGAGAAAACCAGAGAAAACCACAAGGTTGAACAGGCGACCCTACTCCTTGTCACGTACAACCGGGGAATCGAAACCACACCAGCTGCCTCAATGACAGACCTAACGATACAGCGCGCACATGCTAACCATTCGGCCATCCAACCCCCCCCATACTCCTTGAAAGGAAAACTCACTTTGAAAACTATCGAGCCATTCAGGCTGTCTATAATGTTCTGATGTTAACACACAAGTATTTAAAAATACTAATACAATAACTATCCAATAAAAAGCTTGTGATTTCACTATTTTACGACTAAATCGTCTGCATCTTCGGTTCCATTTTTCTAAAATAAACCTGAAATACAACAAAACAGTTTTGAGATCTAATATCATTTTGAGAAACTGAAATGATTTAAATAGACTACATATCAAACCAAAGATAGGTTGCCAGGCAACGAAACATATGCCCACAGCAGCTAAACCGTCTGGGCAGTCAAAAAGAGTTGTCACATTTTTTTACTTTTTTCGGTAATGCAACATTTATAATACATTAAAATCTGATTAAGAGTAACAACTCATTAAGTAACTATCAGAAAACCATTAGAATTTGTTTGGTTTTTATAAAGTTCTGCCCCATGCTAACGTTTAGTATACGAAACATTTAATATCATGGATTTAGTTGTTCAAGTTATCAAAATTCATTGAAAATCAATATACTTGTTTGTCTCAAGATTTTCAAAGTGATCAAGAGCCATAACTCTGGCAGTAATTATCGGAAATCGCTGAAATCAATTGAATGTGGGCGTATAAAAATTGTTGTCTTTTGGGTTAATTATGTCCAAAAAAAAAGATATTGGATAATTTTAATTAAATATCATTAAATCCATTTGATTTGGTCGATAAAATCTAAGTTCACCTTATACACCAACAAAGTTACTTGTAGAGGTTAATACAATTTTTCAGACATCCATAATAATAGAATAATTACAATATAAACGAACCCATTCAGTATTTATGTATTATACTTAATTGGGATGTTTGTTGAATAGTGGTCAGGACATTAAGCGCTTGTAAATTAAAAACTTGCTATCAAAATTGAACGGCCAGCTTTAAACTGGACACAAGTACAAATTAGTTGATTTTATATGTTCTTCACAAATTTTTAAACGAAAATCTGATATTGAACGAATGTGAAAGAAATTACGGCTAAATATGCAAGATTAAACGATACCCAGATTACAATGAAAATGTTCACTAAGAAGTTCACCTCGTTTACAAGGGTTATTTCAAAGTTCTTATTGAGAACTACCAAATTTTCAAACGAAGATCTGATATTGAATGCAAAAAACCAAATTAAATGATTTGGGGGGATTTTAAATAATTTTTACTAATTTTTAAACAAAGATTTGATATTAAACGAATGTGAAAGAAATGAGTGGTAGATACACAAGATTAAATGATACCCAGGTTACAGTGACAACAAGCCAACAGTGAGGCTGATGTCCCCCGCCGAAAGCCCAAAATAAATAGATGATAAATATTAATTAATCGAACATTTATTTTTTTTCAAAAGTATCAAGCAACTTTAAAGGTAACTTTGATTTTGCACACCCAATGGAAACTGTCACAAATCTTTTAATAACACGTGAAGACTACACTTTCAAAGTTTATCTTTTTATCATCAATTAAAATTTAATGATCTTTTTCCTTAAAATATCTCAAATCTTCCTTACTTTTTTTGTTGAAACCAAGATGGAGTTAAGTCAGTGCTGCTTAATTCTTCTGACTTGTCTGATAATTCAGCTTCCATAGATTTACCTGTAAAAAAAAAACAATATTTAATTAATCATATCTTTTTTATAAATCTCTACATTGGCCTCCCAACCAACAACGTTATTGATTTTCTTGACAAAGAATTACCGAGGGTAAAAGGCTAGTCTTAGTAAGCAAAGAGAGAGAGAGAGATTTTAACATCCACTCGGTCACTTCGGGACTAACATATGGTTTTTAATTTTAATTTAATAATTCGCTTGCGTGTAGGGGTCTTTAGCAGTAGGAGGAAACAGGAGGACCCAGAGAAAACCCACAAGGTTGGACAGGCGACCCTACTCCTTGTCACGTACAACCGGGGATTCGAAACCATGCCAGTTGACTCAATGACAGACCTTATGATACAGTACGCATGTTCTAACCATTCAGCCATCCAACCCCCAAGTAAAAAAAAGAGAAAACAAGCCAACAGAGAGGCCGATATCTCCCGGACGAAAACCCAAAATACCTTTTAACACTATTGATTTACTTAACATAGAATTACAGACGGGAAAAGGCTAAACTTAGTTTAAAAAAAAAAAAAAAAAAAAATTAAACTAATGGAAAATAAGTTCAGAAAAAGAAAAAATGAGCAGAAAAGAAAACAAACTATAAATAGATCCAGTTTTTTTTTTTAAATACCAAGAACAGATAAGTGGTGGGAAGAGGGCGTGTCTGTTCTTTTAAAGGCAATTAAGGTCAACAAGTGTATTCTAAAGCCTGTCTCACACAGGCCTGCTTTACCCTGGGATAGGTAGGGAGTAGGGTGATCCTGTGTGGTGACGCCACAGTGACGCAGCCCAACACCAACGCAAAATGTATGTTGGATGACGCAACCATAGAATACAACCTGGCGTCATGCTGCAAGCGGTTTTTGGGCCGTCAGTTGCCGCAAAAGGTTACGCACACTGATGCGTCACATATCAAAACACTGCATTACTTGTTGTAGAATAGAAATATTTAAATGGCATTACGATTTGTATCTAGGCCAGTCAGACTGTGGCACCTTACAGCACCAAGCTACTGGCACACACCACAAATACATATGCTAGGTAACTCAAGGGGTTACACAGAATAGTGACACACTTGTGTGAGACAAAGTGAAATCAGAAGTTTCATCATATACACTTCAAAAAAAGTAGGGCATATTTAAATGCAAATACTTATGCAGGTTGTCATATGATAAATAGTCATGGACACTTGATATGCTTTGAGAGTATGTTCACAGATGAAGAACTTATCGCCCCAACAGAACCACTGAGCTGCACATGCGACATGCAATAGCGCCATACACGTGGGAGGGGTTCATTGTCAAATTTGACACTTCAAGGAAGGGTTGATGAAAACTGCCGCTTGCTGGTTTATCCTATCCATGTTTGCTTTCCTATCGGTTCTTGCATAAGATTTACTGTTTAGCGTATCTTTACTTTAGTGTGTTACGTTTAATTTGATCGGGAGACGTGTTCATCGACATCAATGTCAACCGACAACAATGCAAAAATTGTCCGTGGCACTGCAAGAGGAGTGGGTCAGATTGCCCCAAATCGTGATTGGACGGTTGATTAGGAGCATGCCACTACGAATTGCTGAATGTCTGAGGATTGGTGGAGCAATTAAACATTTAAGACAAAAAACAAAAACGTCCATTTTCACTTTTGACGGTATATCTCTTTGCGAGTGAAATGGGGCCGTTAGATAAGCCGCCCATACGAACTGTTTATGTTCATGTGTAGGCAATTGGCCCGTTATTAACATACACTGACCTCTAATAAAAACAGCAGTGCAATTCTGCAGTTTTGTATTGTTTCTGAATATCCCCTACTTTTTTTGAAGAGTATATATATAAACTAGATTTAAACCGAACATGGTCAAATCAGGTAACATCAAAAAGATTTTTTTTTAACAACCCTCAAAGATCACCAAAATACTAATACCTCTCCGAAAGGGTTGGTGTATTGAACTTCCATTGTTATCTGCCTATGTAAAGTCTAGTTACATACTCAGACGCAATAAACGCACACCACTGATTTAACTGGAAGTGCTGGCGAGGCATTAATGTAGATGAAACGTGATTTTTGGCATGATGTTGTTACATTCAGAATTGCAAGATTAGAGTGTATCTCTCAAGCAAGATTAACATTCATCGACTTATAAAACTGCTGATTCGGTATTTAAAGGTGCCGACTCTGTATATAAATGTGTGAAAAAAAATAAACTTACTATGCCTAGGTGTGGCTATTTCTTCACCTTCTGCATCACATTCAGGATCAATATCATCTAGAATTTAAACAAAAAAATTAGTTAAAATAAACTTTCTTACAATTACAAATCAGTAGTACATTTCTCAACTTAGATGAAAGCGCCAAAGATCATTTACCTGAAAAATCACATTTTGTTCCAAAATTATATAAAGCAAGGTCATGCAAGAGGCTAATGTAATTCTGACCAAGTTCAAAAATTTTAGACCAGAAATTATCAACAACGACAGCATGGTCAACACAAGCATTAACTTAAAAAATCAACATTGCCCAACGACTATATTTTACTGGTTCATTTCTTTGTAATTTAATTTAGGGGGGCTTGGATGGCCGAATGGTAAGCGTGTGCGCGTTGCATCATAAGGTCCGTCATTGAGTCATCTGGCATGGTTTCAATTCCCCGGTTGTACATGACAAGGAGTAGGGTCGTCTGTCCAACCTCGTGGGTTTTTTCCTGTCCTCCGGTTTCACCCCACTGCTAAAGACCTCTACGTGCAAGCAAATTATTTAAATAAAATAGAACCATATGTTAGTCCCAAAATGACCCAGTTTGTGTCGAGTGGACGTTAAACCCCCATTTCTCTCTTTCTCTCATAAATCAATTTATTCTAAAACAGCGGACATAAACTGTGATACATAAATATATATGGCTGTAATTCAGATGGACAGAAGTAACGAACTGTTGGGACTGGTCATGGCCTCAATTAGCTTGCAGTCTTCTTTTGATCACTGTTCCAAACATTTAAATAAATTAACCATACCAGCTTGTGTGAATTTTGAAATAACCCCCCTATAAAATAAATAAGTCTTACCAGCTTGTGTGATCCAATCTAAATAACCACGTAAATCCTCCTCTAACTGTTGTTTTTCCCGTAATTTTTGGAAGTCTCCTCTAGCTTTTGCTTTTTCCCTTTCTTTCGAAAATTCTCTATAAAACACAGTGACAACAATAAGAATGGATTATATTTATATTTACATACGGATGACATAAAAATTAATGCCAAGACTTTTTATTTGAAGATAGTTACATGTACATATATATCCAAGTTCTGGTGGGGGTGGGGGTGGATGGCTAAATGGTTAGCATGTGCGCGCTGTGCTATAAAATCTGTCATTGAGCCAACTGGTGGGGTTTCGAATCCCCAGTTGTACGTGACAAGGAGTAGGGTCGCCTGTCCAACCTCGTGGGTTTTCTTCGGGTCGTCCGGTTTCCTCCCACTGCTAAAGACTCCTATGCGCAAGTGAATTATGAAAATAGAATTGAATCATATGTTGGTCCCGAAATGACCTAGTTTGTGTCGAGTGGACGTTAAACCTTATTTCTCTCTCTCACTCCTTCAGTCTGGTCAACGATGCTAAGAGCCAATACTGCGATTGTTTAAACATAAAGGACCTCAGTTTTGCGTCCCATCTGAACGACTATACATTTGTCCCTTGGCAGGACCCCCATCCTACATCACTGACAAGGAGGAACCACCCCGTAAAATCCCTCAAGGTTAGCTAGCCAATGTCATATTTACTGTCTCCCGCTCTATAAAATAAAGTTTAGAACGTGATTGATGTCATTAAACATACATTATGCAAGAGCTAAATCTGTCTATTGCAGGTCTTTCTTTAGGTCTGAAATGTTATCTTAATTATTAATTAGACATTAATTAACCTATCCAGACCATAATCAACTCTAGATGGCATCGCTAGCCTGCGATCTTTAGTGGATTGCTGCATAACTTTCCTTCACGATTTAACGATTAAATGGCTAATCGAGACTATGCTGTTTATTGTACTGACTTTAGTAATGATGATCAAGGCTAGGCGGATTTTTCAATCGCTTAGTTCTCGGTTCATCATAGTGGATCAATTTGAATGAAATTTTCAGCAAATTGCCTTGAAATTATCTAGTTTTTAACTATTATAGTTAGAACTGCCAACTTGTTATCGAATCTCCCATAATGTATCTCTAATAATTGTACGTACCCACTCAACACACCAAGAACAAGATTAAGTACAAAAAAAGAACCAATAATAATAAGACTGATAAAATAAATCCATGGCCATTCATTACCAACTGCATCATTTACCTGAAAATAAAACAATTAACATTACATTACTTAATGGACAATGTTGAGAGTGGTCTAGGGAGATTCAGTGAATTTGTTTTTTTTAATATAAATTTGCAAATATTAAAGGCCACATGGGGAATGCAGCAGGGAATGTGTTAGATTATGTTCCTCTCAACAGCTACTGGGGGTTTAGCGGCATAATAATTTGACTCGTGCCCCATATGGTCTGTCATTGAGTCAAGTAGAGTAGTTTCGAATGCCAGCTTGTATGTGACAAGGATAAGGGTCGTCTGTTCAGCCTTGTGGGTTTTGTCGGTTTCCTTCCCCTGCTAAGGACCCCTACACGCAAGCGAATTATTGAAATAAATTTGAATCATGTGTTAGTCTTGAAATGACCTAGAATGCATCACAGAGGGTGCCATCCAATTAATAACTAACTGCCACTCTGTGATCTGGCTTTCGAAAATTTTAAATAGTTTCTGAACTAAAAAGAGTTTTTAAAAAGTGAAATTGTTTTTAAAAAGTGACGCAATAAAAATTGTTTGTAGGATATGTAAAACTGTTCTAGGCTACATGTATAGTATATGACATATATCACAACTCATCTGTCAAGGCACCAGATTTTATAGACTTGTGACAACTCAAGTGTCAAGGCACCAGATTTTATAGACTTGTGACAAGTAGATCTGTGTAACTAAATTGATGTGACAGGACTCGCATTACCCAACACTAGTGCTTAGTACACATGTATATGTAGACGTATTTACTCTTAGCACAAGTGTAGACATACATTGTACTTACATGTATTCTTAGTACACATGTACAGGGGTGGACATACTTATTCTTAGCACATGTAGAGGTGTGGACATACTTAGCACACATGTATAGATGTGGACATACTTACTCTTAGCACACATTACATGTACTCTTAGCACACATGGAGAGGTGTAGACACACTTACTCTTAGCACACATGTAGAGGTGAAGACAAACGTACTCTTAGCACACATGTAGAGGTGTTGACAAACTTACTCTTAGCACACATTTAGAGGTGTAGACATACTTACTCTTAGCACACATGTAGAGGTGTAGACACACTTACTCTTAACACACATGTAGAGGTGTAGACACACTTACTCTTAGCACACATGTAGACGTGTACACAAACTTACTCTTAGGACACATGTATATGTGTAGGTGTAGACATACTTACATCATATAAGACATCGGTCCATCCTTCCATTGTGATACACTGAAACACTGTCAACATAGCTAGGCCAAAATTATCAAAGTTTGTAATGCCAAAATTTGGCCCTTCCCAGAATTCATTACAATCTGTACCTTCTAAATAATCCGAACACTTAAACCCTCTTCCACACGGATGTGGATCTTCAAATGCTATAGTTTCTGAAAAACACAAAACCATAAATATCAAGGATAATTTTAAAGCCTCAACATGCCAGAATAAAAAAAGTTAAATGAAGAGTTCAAGACCATACACAATGAAAGGTACTCAAACTTTAATAAAATTCTGATCTAAAAATTTAACAAATCAATAAATTAACAAATATACTGTTATGTATGCAGAGTAAAATTAATATGCATATTCTAGTATGTTTTAACAGCTGGCTTTTGTGTAGATTTTAAAAAGAGTGTGTCTAGTATTTTCATATTTTTAGTATAGTAGAATGCTTTGATTCTGGAAGATAATGCTTCAGTTATGTAGTAATATCGTCGTTGAGACATTGTTTTTAAATTTATAGACAAAAAAGAGATATAATATGTTTAAACAATATTTGTATCTTTACAAATTATTCTCTATTGTCTGCATATTAGCTATGGTATGAGTTTATTTAAAACGCAAATTAATTGTTTATGAAACAGTGTGACAATAACAGGAAAGAGGGTCTAAGTTCAAGGATAGATTGTGTCAAAAAACATGTGACTGGAAATTGCGTCATTTGGTTTAGTTTGACCAATCTCTGTAATTATTTACATCATATTTGACCAATTAGATAATTGAACGTCCAAAGCCCAAAGCTACCAAACTATCATATTGGTGGGCGCTTGTCAGACAACAGACAGATTCTGGAAGGGAAAAGATGTACATGTAGCAGTTTCTATCAGCAGCTAGTCTGGCTGGATGAGGTTTGAGAGAGAGAGAGAGAGAAATGGGGTTTAACGTCCACTCAACACAAACTAGGTCATTTCGGGACTAACATATGGTTTAATTTTATTTACATAATTCGCTTGCGCGTAGGGGTCTTTAGCAGTGGGAGGAAACCGGAGGCCCCGGAGAAAACCCCCGAGGTTGGACAGGCGACCCTACTCCTTGCCACATACAACCGGGGATTCGAAACCACGCCAGTCGACTCAATGACAGACTTTATGATAAAAGCGCGCGCACACTAACCATTCAGCCATCCAACCCCCCGAGGTTTGAGAGGATGACTTTATTCTATTATGCATTGTAATATATGTAAGCAGCTATATGATATATAAAATGTAAAAACGAACTGTTGCAGTGTTATTCCTGTTATTCTTAAGAAAACAGTAAGAAGTAAATACATAACGTGAAGCAGAAGCAAAGACAGCTAGAGACAAATTCTAGACGAACACAAGGCTACTAAGACATGTAGTAGGAAAAGATGCATGGGTCGTACGTAGGATGTGGCGACCGGTTAGGATCACCTGCTCTCCACGTCTGAAGAAAGGCCTGTGGTGCTACATTTACAAAGGATATAATATATGTTGTTTTGTTATTTTCTATTAAAAAAAATTATATTTATAATCAGTCAGTATTTTCTCAGCTGTAGTGAGCATTTGTAAATAATAAACAATACAGTAGAAACTATCGATCCCTGCATTGGCCGTAAAAGATCCCTTGACAGTTGGAATTTGATATAAAAGTATTTTGTATATTGTATGTTGTCCTCAAGGGAGGTTCCGATGCAATATTGTGTGTCTTGTGTAATAATTGTCATATCGTTATAATTTTTATGTACACGTTTATATTGTATGCTGTCCTAAAAGGATGTTTCGATGCAATAAAATCTTATCTAGGTGTCGCTTCTCAACAAAATGGTTGCAGACGAAAGCACGTCCATTCCCACGAAATGATTCTGCCTCTATGTCTGTGGGGCATCGTTTTAAACATGACGACGATATCTTCAATATCCGTTTTCGAGAAAAATGAAAGCACAACCCGCACACTCGTTAAAAATGTGTTGAGGGAGTTTCAAACGTGAGTTTGTCGTGCATCAAGAAAAATCCCGATGTCATTGATTTGTTTGCCAATAAAAGAAGACGAATGTTTGCACCCGGAAAATTATCAAGCTGTCAAATTAGCTCTTAAAAAAAAAAATCTGAAAAAAACCCGACCTACCGACCCTTCTCCTCGATTGTGGGTCGGGTTTGGTGAAACAAAGATATTTTTAAGGTCAGCCTAATATACATGTAATTATTCTATATTTATGGATTTTTGTATTAAAGAGAGAGACAGAAATGAAATGAAATGGGGTTTAACGTCCTACTGTTCTGCCAGAGACAGAAATGGGGTTTAACATCCACTTGATATAAACTGGGTCATTTCAGGACTAACATATGGTTCAATCTTAATTCAATAATTCACTTGCGCATAGGTGTTTTTAGCAGTGGGAGGAAACCAAAGGAGCCGGAGAAAACCCACGAGGTTGGACAGGTGACCCTACTCTTTGTCCCGCACAGCCGGGGGAACTTTTGTATTAAAAAGGTTACATGTATATTCCGTGAAATAAACAGTAAAATAGATCTCAGTGTATTTTATTTTTATCACCAAAAATCCCCTACTTAGAAAGTCAACCAGATTATTAAATCCATATGAATATAATAAATGGCTACACACACGATCAATCATGTACATAAAATGTTATGTTAAGATAAATATTGTGCCCCAATTAGAAAAAAGTCGTTATTTACATGTATTAATGCGCAGACATAAATATCACACGTCAATTTTCACCCAATGGTACGAGCAGAAAAAATATATACATGTTTAAAGATAGGTTGCCAGGCAACGAAACATACGCCCACAGCAGCAAGTCGTCCGAGCAGGCAACAAGAGATTTCGCATAATTTTTCTAATATCGGTAATGAAACATTTATAATACACTAAAATCTGATTAAGAGTAACAACTCATTAAGTAATTATCCGAAAATCATTAGAAGTTGTTTGGCTTTTAGTTCTGCCCTATGCTAACGTTTAGTATACGAAACATTTAATATCATCGATTTAGTTGTTCAAGTTATCAAAATTCATTGAAAATCAATATACTTGTTCGTCTCAATCTAAAGTCAATATACTTGTTCGTCTCAATCTAAAGTCAATCGGATGATAACTTTAGCCTCTAGAGCGACCACAAGATTTTTCAATGTGATCAAGGGCCATAACTCTGGCAGTAATTATCACTGGGCTTCTTCGTCTCACGACCATAAACACTGTGCATAAATTTAAAGTCAATCAGATATTAAGTTTAGCGGACCGACGGGAGAAACGATAAGATATGACCACATTTCAATGTGGGCGTATAAAAATCTGGTTTAAAGCAAAAAATTATGAAGATGAATAAAGCACCTCACATTTAAACCTCTAGTCTGTTTTTGTACTGCTGTTGAGCAGGGATTTTAATTATCTACTAATGTCTACTCTCTTCCCCGGCATCATTGTTTGATCCAGCAGCTACACTGATCTACCGACCTGTCCAGCCACTGGCCCCTAAATGTTTGTAATCTACTTGATTTCTCTGGACCTTCCCGTTTCTTTCCATTGCTAAAGACCTTTACGTACATGTACAACGTTATTCACAAAATGACTTAGTTTATGTTGAGTGGATGTAAAATCCCATTTCACTCTTTCTTTCTATTTAAAGTTTTAATCATATGCCTCTTTTATTATATAATAAATTTTAAAAATATCTACTCTAGCTAAATGTAAGCTAGATAAAACTGAACATGTTGACAAAATAGAGAGAGAGAGAGAGAGAGAGAGAGATAGAGAGAGAGAGAGAGATGGGGTTTAACCTCCACTCGACACAAACTAGGTCATTTTGGGACTAACATACAGTTCAATTTTATTTCAACAATTCGCTTGCACATAGGGGTCTTTAGCGGTGGAAAGAAACCCAAGGAGGTTGGACAAGTGACCCTACTCCTTGCCATGTACAACCTGGGAATCGAAACCATGCCAGTTGACTCAATGACAGACCTTATGATATAACGCAAACGTGCTAACCATTCAGCCATCCAAACACCCTTGTTGATAAAAGAAACTGTTAACATTTGATATGGAAATGAAATGAAATAGGGTTTATTGTCCTACTGTTCTGAACCGACTGGGCTAATGAAGATGGGCATACGCCAAACAGTGTGCTATGAGGGAAATTTTGCCTGGACAGCGGCACTGCAGCCTACTCTTATATCGAATTATAACTGTCAAGGGTTCATTTACGTGCACGCCAATGTGTTCACAGAACCTCGGCTTTAAGTTCGATATGAAAAACTAAACACTATTTCTTGTCAGGCCCTCTGATAAGTTTGATAAACGTGTCAGAAAATCCACAGGAACTTTCTCTGCCAACATCGGGAGCGAACCCGAGACCTCCTGGTCAGTGAGCCAGCACCTAGCTCACTGAGCCACCATCGAACCCAAAACTCCTGGGTCAGTGAGCATGCACCTAGCTCATTGAACCACCATCGAACCCAAGACCCCCGGGTTAGTGAGCACGCACCTAGGTCACTGAGCCACCATTGAACCCAAGACCAAAGGGTTAGTGAGCCAGAACCTAGCTCACTGAGCCACCATTGAACCCAAGACCAACGGGTTAGTGAGCCAGCACCTTCTGCACTGAGCCACCATCGTACCCAAGACCCCCGGGTTAGTGAGCCAGCACCTTATGCACTGAGCCACCATCGAACCCAAGACCCCCTGGTTAGTGAGCCAGCACCTTATGCACTGAGCCACCATCGAACCCAAGACCCCCTGGTTAGTGAGCCAGCACCTTATTCACTGAGCCACCATTGAACCCAAGACCAAAGGGTTAGTGAGCCAGAACCTAGCTCACTGAGCCACCATTGAACCCAAGACCAACGGGTTAGTGAGCCAGCACCTTCTGCACTGAGCCACCATCGTACCCAAGACCCCCGGGTTAGTGAGCCAGCACCTTATGCACTGAGCCACCATCGAACCCAAGACCCCCTGGTTAGTGAGCCAGCACCTTATGCACTGAGCCACCATCGAACCCAAGACCCCCTGGTTAGTGAGCCAGCACCTTATTCACAGAACCAACATCGAACCCAAGACCCCCGGGTTAGTGAGCCAGCACCTAGCTCACTGAACCACCATCGAACCCAAGACCTTCTGGTCAGTGAGC